GATCGCCCATGCGGGCAAAAACGGGTGGGAAAACAAAGCGGCGCAGGAGGAAGCGCTACGAGGCATTTTACACAGCACCCCATAGCACTTCAGAAACGGTATAGAAAAGTGGAGACCACTTGGAAGCAGTTTGCAGGTAAAACGGTTCAGCCACGTTTCCTGAATGGGACAGAAGCGTTTCTGTCTGAAAGTGAAAATATACTCCGGTAGGGAATCATTACTAAAACAGTTCTGTCTGAAATGTCAGACCAGAAACCGTTAGGGAACAGTTCCTGAACCGGAATATATCGGCTATCTGAAATTCCCTGTGTGAGACAAGATGCTGGACCAGGTGGACTGCTAGTCTGATCCAGCAGGGCCCTTCTTATGTTCGTAGCTGGGTTCCAAAGATGAGTCTTTAACCAGGCCTTATATGCTTGCCAGTAATGTAGTTCCAAGCCCTTCTTCCCAGGGCTCACTGGTTACAGTCAAATGTAAACAAGGTATGTTACTGCTTCAGTCTTACAGCAGTACTCTGTGATGGTTGTTATTCCAAGTTACACTCTTCACTGGTGTCCCCTCAGCTCTCACAGGAATCCTCTCCCAAGTTGCCTCTCTCTGTTTTCCCTCCCTTTCTTCCGTCTCCCTCCTACTCTCAGAAAAAGGCAACAGTTTCAGAGTCAGGGTGGGAGGAGAAGTCTCAGAATCCCATTGCACTGTGTTGGCCCACCATTCCTCACCAAGTGAGAGTGTTCCAGTGTCTTTGTTCATTCTTCAACCTTTTGTGAGACTAATTCTAAACCCACTTCACTGGATAAATTAAAAATAAGGGGATCATAGGCAATGTTCCCTCTAATCTGTGGAGTCTTGTGAGCAAGAATTCTACTTTGTGAGCTACTAGCATTAAAGTTGTGAGCAAGCGATTTGGCTACTGCATAAATCAGTTTGCTCTGGAGCTGTCCTTCCTGAGCGAAGACAAAAATGCATGAGCCAGAGGCTAAAAAACTGTGAGCTAGCTCACACTAACTCAGCTTAGAGGGAACACTGATCATAGGAGACAACTATAAAATTATGAATGATGAAGTGAAAGAATTTTTGTGTGTGTCAAAGCACTGGAACTGACATCAAGCAATGAAACTGATTAAGAGTAGATTCTGGAAATGGAATGTAATAATTTTTCGTACTCAATAACTTTTTTTAAAAAGTAGATTCTGGATAGAATGACTTATGCAGCAGTTTACAAAATTCATTGCTACAGTGTGTTATAATGGCTACCAGTGTAGATGATTCTTTAAAACACATTAAACAAACCATGAAAACTTGATCTATCAATAACTATTACCGGTAGCTAAAAGATCCAAGAATGGAGCTTCCATGTTCAGTGGCAGTATACCAAAGTCTAAAAACAAACAACAGGAAAGCTATTATGAGCTTCTTGTGACCTTCAGAAGCACTTGGTTGGCTACTGACCAAAAAGATTTTTGATCTGATTCAACAAGGCCACTTCCATGTGGTTATATTTAATATGGTAAGTGGCCATGCCTTGTATTGAATAAGCAAGAAAGCTGGGCCATCAATGTACAAGGTAGGGATCTCTCTATCCTCAGGAGATTCCTCATGTATCCAGAAAAAGTTGGTTTGTAAATTAACCAGGAGAAAACTCTTTTACAGAAGAACAGGCCGTTGAATATTATGTAAAATTTCTGTTGTTCTTATGGTACTGCTTTTAACTGTCTCTCACCCATGTAGCTCTTACGGAAGAAGGGTGGGATTTTTTTTTAAAAAATGTAATAAAATACAACACGCATGCCCGAGTGTAGCAGAAAGCTTTGCTAACGTAAACCGACAAGCCACACACACAGAGGCTGTGGAATCCCTGAAGCAGAGAAGACCCACCTTCTACCCTGGAAGCCCTTTCGCCTAATCCCAGGTTGCGGCAAAAGGAACGAGTCTCTGCCCAGCCCGACCGGACCCTCTTCTTATCGGTCCCCCAGCAGCGGAGCCTCAGGAGGCCGCCTCAAGGGCTCACCCCAGGAAGGACCGAGTCGGGAACAGGAGGAGACTCGGCTTACCTGTCTGGAAACTCAACCGCGCACGCGCCGCTGAGGCAGCCCCGCGCTCCGAGGGGAAGAGGAAGGGCCTATGGAGGAAACAGGGCAGGGAGAGGCTTCGTCTGCCGCCCTGAGCGTGCGCGGTTGAAGGGGGCAGCTAGGAAGGAAGGCAGGCAGGGCGGACTTGGTGTCTTGTTGGAGCCCCTTAGGTTTGCCCCTCCCGAGCCGGGCTTTGCGTGCTTGTGTGAGCAACTCGCTTGTGTACTGCCGGCTACATCTTGTGTGAATATGCAGGACGCGTGTCTGGAGATGGCGTGCTAGGTGGGGCCAGTGCCACGTTCCAGAACCGAGAGTCCTCTCTACCGCCTCCGACGCGTTTCTGTTTAGGCGGGGGGACGACAGTATTTTTTAGCCGACCGCGCAGCTTGACGAGGTGTGGGAAGTCCAGGACTGACTCTCCTGACCTATTAAATTTTATTTAAAAATTGTGCGGCGTGCGGGGTATTAAATAAAGGGTATTGAGATCTGGAGAGAAATCTTCCCACCCTCGCCAATAACGTTTACCTTTAGAAGTGGGCGGAGGGGAGGCGGTGTTGACAACTTGACTGGATCTACATCGTTGGTCTTCTGGATTTTCCCGTCTTCACAAAAATCCGAGTTGTTATAGTGCAGTATCCAGCATTGTGTGGAACCTTCTGGAGTCTGATGTCTACATGGTGAACATTATGCTGGATTGCTGCCTGTATATTTGTTCCTTTCCTCCTGCAGATACCAAAACGATATAAATGGAAAAGTGGGGAACAGGATGAGGTGGAACCCCCTGCCCACTTTAAAATTGGTATGGTCTGCTGTGTAGTTTGATCTTCACATACCTGCTACAATAATACAAAGTTTGAGTCCAGTGGCACCTTAAGACCAGCAAAGTTTAATTCTGGGTATAAGCTTCTGTGTCCATGCACATTTCAGATGTATCAGTAGAAAAGAGCAAGGGTCCAGTAGCACTTTAAAGACTAACAAAATATATGGCAGGGGATGAGCTTTCGTGAGTCACTGCTCAATCTTCAGATACTATATCTTCACTATCTGAAGAAATTAGCACACTGAGCAGTGACTCAAGAAAGCTCATCCCTTGCCACAAATTTTGTTAGTTTTTAAGGTGACCCTTGCTCTTTTCTACAGCTACAGATTAACATGGCTACCCATCTTGATCTAACTTCAGATGTATGTCACCCTTGTGCAAAGTGGTAAAGTCTAAGGTACCAGGATATGGTTGGAAAGTACACTAGGCAATAACCTTACTGAAGCTATGGAGCAGGTTGTTTGCTGCATAGGAGATACCTGGGGAACAAGATATATTCCGCTTTGAGTTTCATGACAGAAAAAAGGTGGGATGTGAAAAATGAATAAAAAGAGAGACCGTTGTTTGTTTGCAAACACAGTAGGCATATGCCAGGACGCATTGTTAGGTTGGCTACATTTTGCTAGCCTGTTCCAGGGTCTGTTTACAAACATTTTCACTTTGCATTTTACAGTGTTTGATGCCAGCATCACAGGACACCAGCCACATAAAATGTAAATGGGCCCTGTTTCGTTGGAAGCCTCTGCTGTCCTGTGGGTTGCAGGTGCTTGTTCATCTAGCAGAAAATACATTTGCATAACTTTCTCACATGAGCACAGGTTTACACACACATTATTGAGCCTATGTCTGTGTAGAAAAATGGCATGTGTAAAGATCTTGCATAGCTGAATTAGTTCTAGCCATCCTGCTAGTAGCTAGCAGTAAGTTATTATGCAGAGTAACTTGTTTGATTGGGCTTAGACTGGAGTGATTCTACATAAAATTATAGTGTTAGAAACTGTACTCACTCTATGTCCTGCAGAGAACCACATTCGCAATTACATTCGACCAGAAGAGCTACATGACTACCCATCAAACACGCACACACACAATATAAGAAATAACAAGTATGTAACTATAGCATTTTAAATAGCCATAGAACATCAGATCCCATCTCTCCCCACCACTGTTGAACCATAACCAGCCCCTCTATATCCAGAATGAGGGGAGGGGCTTCTGTCTCTGCCTTCCTGCTTTCTCCTCAGCATGAGAGACAGCAGGTTGGGTTAGAGTGTGAAATTGCCAAGGTGCTCAGAGGAGAGCTGGTTGTCCCTGGAAAAGGGGAGCGAAATCATTATTACCGCATGTGGCCAGCTTGGTCTTTTCCCAGTTGTCTGCCCTGGTGGTGGCTTTGCAGTCTCTTCCTAGCAGCTGCTTAGGTGCTAAGATGAGAGTCCAGAGGCTGCTGAGAAGAGTAGGTGGTTGTTGGACACAATGGGCCTTTTACGTCTATCCCTGGCATGAGGCCTGGCATGAGGCTTGCTGCTTAACTGTCCTCTAGTCCAACTGTTTCAAGGTGGGAACCACCTGCCCACTACCAGCCCTACCAGGCCAGGGCCTTGCCCACTTTCCTGGAACATGGGAGGGGGCCACATTGGGGAATGGTCCTCAAAAGAGCCACAGGTGTCCTCTGAGCCACTGAATCAGCATCACTGCTGTATGAGTTAAAAAAGGACCCCCTTCATCAAAATATGCATTAAGATCTGTTATGAATTGTATTTTACAACTGGTTGAAAAGGGGTCAGACACTCTATAAAATTTTATCTGTTTACCATTTGGAGAATGTTGATCATGCAATTAACATATTTGAACTGCTTCGTAGGCTGTGTTAGGGATTTTAGACTACAGTTGTATATGTACTTAGTTTGTAAGTAAGCCTCACTGAATTCAATAAAACTTTCTAACAAGTAAAATGAAGGGAATTATAGGTCCAACTGGTATGTGTGTGTAGGTATTGCTATTTTGCAAAATCACAGGACACCAGTAAGATATTCCTGTGCGCACTCTCTCTCTCTCCCTCTCTCTATCCCTCTCTCCTGAACTTCTGTAGTGGGTTTACTTGTAGAAGATTGCTATATGGTGAGGAGATAGTGAATCTCTACAGAACCCCATGAATTCCCTCTGTTTGCCCTTTTTTTGTTTTGTTGTATCCCAGTCTTAAGGCCTCCATTGCCAATTTCCAGCAAATTAGTCTCCATAAGAACATAAGAGACGCCAATGTTGGATCAGGCCAAAGGCCCATCCAGCCCAACACTCTGTGTCACACAGTGGCCAGAAATACCAGGTGCCATCAGGAGGTCCACCAGTTGGGCCAGGACATTAGAAGCCCTCCCACTGTTGATCCCCCTAAGCACCAAGAAGACAGAGCATCACTTGCCCCAGAGCCCCTATCTATACCTTGTGGCTAATAGCCACTGGTGGACCTCTGCTCCATATGCTTATCTAATTCCCTTTTGAAGCCGTCCATGCTTGTAGCCACCGCCACTTCCTGTGGCAGTGAATTCCATGTGTTAATCACTCTTTGGGTGAAGAAGTACTTCCTTTTATCCGTTCTAACCCGACCGCTCAGCAATTTCATGGAGTGCCCACGAGTTCTTGTATTGTGAGAAAGGGAGAAAAGTACTTCCTTCTCAACCTGCTCTATCCCATGCATAATCTTATAAACCTCAATCATGTCACCCCTCAGTCGTCGTTTCTCCAAGCTAAAGAGCCCTAAGCGCTTTAACCTTTTATTTATTTATTTTTATTTTATTTATTTAGGTATTTCTACCCCGCCCTACCCCGCAAGCGGGCTCATAGGGAAAGTGTTCCAACCCTTTTATCATTCGAGTTGCCCTTTTCTGCACTTTTTCCAAAGCTATAATATCCTTTTTAAGGTGTGGTGACCAGAACTCCACTCTAGTAGGGCACAGTTAGAGATAATGCCAAAGAAACTATCCCACAGACAAGTGCTGATGTTTGTTTGTGATTAGGCCACAGCAACTTTTAAAAGCCAGGCAAGCCGTAAGGTCGCCGGTTGATATGGAACCCACACAGATGTGTGACCAGCAATTTGCCTCATGGAGTGACCTCTCAAGATGATACTCAGGGATCTCCAGTTGACATAAAAGGATGTCCTAAGCCTGTCCTTTGCTTGTTTCCCCTTGTTATGGAACTACCAGCCTGTCCATAACACCTTGTTAATACTTAATAAATGTTGTCTATCACAAGTAATTTGTCCTTGTTTTGGGTATGCTATGACCCTGAAAGCAGAGTCTGGCAGGCCCTGACTCTAAAGTAAAACACCTTGTTTAAAAATCCCTAGTATGGTTTACAGTAGTAAATACAGCTCAGGCCTTAGTGAACAATTATATCAGATTAAAATCCAAACTAAATTCAGACACAATAAAATAATTAGATGGTAAAATAGTAACATGATAGCAGTAGTTAGCAGAACCATCACAATAAATAAATCACAAAGCAACACAAATAGTAAGGTGGCAATGAAGCAACATCAGTAACAATTAGCAAAATTAAATCAGAAGTACCATTAATAGTCATGTACAGGAGCCGTGTCTCAAAATAAACACTACGTCTTAACCAATGTTCCCTCTAAGCTGAGTTAGTGTGAGCTAGCTCACACTAACTCAGCTTAGAGGGAACAGTGGTCTTAACACGGTGCCAGGTGTAGGGTAGTAGGAAGGGCATTTTGTAACAAAACGAGGCCCTGTCTTAGACAGCATTGCAATTTGAAGGCTGCAAGAGAGTTTCGTGCAACTTACCCTGGTCCTCCAGTGGGGTCACTGACTCAGTTTTCTCTCCTGCACAATTTGAAGCCTGCTTGCTGTAAGGTAAAGTGTGTTGTTGAGTCACAACTGACTTATGGCGACCCTATGAAATTCAGTCTCACATCCCAATACCAACTGACCCTGCTTAGCTTCCAGCTCTAATGAGATCAGTCTAGTCTGGGCTGTTAAGGCTACTTCTGCTTGCTGTAGCACTGAGGGGAAAGGAACATTCGACCAGCTGGTCAGGAGGTGCTACTACACTCTGTCTGAGTCCTCAGAGGCACAGACATTCTCCATCTTGTGAC